CACATCCCCTACCTCTAGACATGTACCAAAATCCTAAAGTTAAATAATGTATCATAAACCCTGATAGTTACTACTTTTAGGGCTTTTGTAAGAATAAATATTGATCTTTCTGAAAATTTAGTTTATAAATCATGCTAATCATCTCCCACTGATTAACGGAGGCTTTCCTTATAGACAAATTGAATCATCACAACCAAAAGGAACCAAAGACATCTTATTCTCTATCCTTTAATCTGTAATTTTCCCCTCTGATACTTAATCTTTTCCTTTTATAAATCAGAAATAAGAGTAATCACTTCAGCAGAAATATGCTATTGTGCTGACGGTCACCATCATTTGCTGATGACTTGTAGGGTTGTGTTAGTTTTCCTCTTTCTGCATGTGCTTATTGCCAATTTCCTATTTCTATTGCCCTAAGTAGAAAACAAAGTCTACACTCTATCAAAAGCTAGACATCTGATTTATGTTGTATTTGGTGCATTCTCTTTGAGAAGCTTATCCTTATCCTCTTTAAACGTTCTAGACTCGATAAACTTAGCCTTTTATATGTACCTTTAGAGTAATGCATTTTACATGGTTCTCTTGCAGTTTTTGAGGTTATGTTTTTTCACCTATGTATGCAGGATCAAGTATTTTCCGAAAATGATGCCTTCTTCGCATGGACATTTGTCAAAAGAAGGCCCCTATGGCAAACACTTCTTTCATTTTGCTGGCCAGTTTTGACACTAGCGATCTGCTTGTTTCCTGTGTATCCTCATCAGGTCAAACTGCTTATCCTCTACTCATGTGCTGGTCTCCTCCTCCTTATACTTTGCGTACTTTTGTGTAAGTTTCTGGTGCTTTACAGTTTTATTCACAAATCTCCTGTTATTTCTTCATTTTCTTTTGATGTTAAGAGGAGTATGATGACGTGTTGTTTTCTCATAAAGTATTAACAAGTAGCTAGCTGTTCTTATATATCATACCAAAACCAAGTACTTTATTGGAATGACTAAAACAACAATTTCAGGATGTTGACTTGAGTGAACATATAGTATAGGGGTGCACGATAGAATTTTATTTTGACTGCTTGATCTGTTGATATTGCTGTTGTCAAGTTGTTTCTTTGACCAGCCTTTTGAAAATTGTGGTACATATTTGTGGTCTGAAGTGATTCAGTTCACAGTTTTTTAATTACTAGTGCATAATGAGTAGATTAAAGTGAAAAAAGTACCTAGTTGCTTGTTTCTTTTTTTTTTTTGGTGTTCTTATCGTAGCAACAATATGTGTATTTATATTAAATACATCCTGCTCACTCTCAAAATGCATTGAATTGGTCTAAGTAGCAAAAATATAGGATACTGGCGTCATGTCAGACCATCATGAAAACACCAGAATTGGAGATAGTGACACAGTAGTTAATCTAAGATATGTAATTTATAACAACCTTAATTAATGGACAGAACATTGCAAGTAGTATTAATATCAATCAACTATGACTCGTCCCTGAATATATGGGTCCTTCCCACATATTTAGGCTCATTGCATTATGATGCAAACAATGTTATTTGAGGCTCATTTTATTATAATGCAAACAATGTTATTAAAGGCTCATTTGAGGTGCTTTTAAGCCCTGAAGCTCAGTTAAAGCCATGTTCTGCGCGTAAAGCCCTAACAGATGCAAAATAACTTGGTTGTGTATAAACATACAAGCCTCAAACTAAATAAAAGGAGCAAGTATCAGTAACTCGTAAAGAAGAAAATGCCAAAAAGCACATTACAATCATTCTGTAATTCGTAATCCTTGATTAAAACATCTAAAATAGCAACAAATTCCCACCACCACCACCCCAAACAAAAAAAACATATAGCAAAATGTATGCCAAAAAAATAATGATATACAATTAAAAAGAAAAACATAATAGCAGTAAAGGATAAATACAAAACAACAACATACCCAGTGCATACCCAGTGTAGTCCTGTAGTGCCACAGGTGGGGGAAGGATAAATACAAATCAGTAAAGCAGAGTGAAAGTGCAGGGTATTACACTAAGTAAGAGAAACAAAAGGCAATACAATTGTAACCGTCTTCTTTTTGTTCTTCAAACTCAATCTTCTATTCTCCATTGTTGAGTTCTAAAGGCTGTAGATTGGGGAGTTTTTCACAATGTGTTAGGCCGAACAGTTGTTGTTTCTGAGTTCTTGTTGGTTATTATTCACTGTATAGGTGCATAAACCATTCCTGCATTATAATCTCTGCATAACTCGACCGTAAACCAAATGATCCCTAAGTTCACTCGAGCCAACATCCCGAAACGATAAAGTATTTGGTTTTTGTTTGATATCAAGTCATGCTCATCTAGCCTTGTCTAGTGTATCTTCAGAATACTATTTGTATTGATTGCAGTTGTCGAGAATGAACATATATATATTTTTGCTTATGAAAAGAATATGTTGATGCTTGCAGTGAGAGGCTTGGTCTTTGGTGCTCTTTGGATTCTTCTTGGAAAACGTTTCTGGTTATTCCCCAACATTCTTGCTGAGGAGGCAACACTCAAAGAATTGTTCCAATTTTGGCCCCAGAAAGATGAGGGCGAGCGACCAAAGTGGACTGCGAGGCTCTTCTATGCAATTGCAGGTGTGGTGCTTATTTCACTCCTAAGGCATCATGCTCCTGATGAGGCTGCAAGAGCCAGGTTCGCTGTCTTGCACTTATACTCTAATGCCTTTATGAAATTTGGATTTAGTGGGAGAAAACGTGATCCAGTTATATAAAGTTGAAATTCTGTTTCTTCTTTGTCAACTTTGATCTGAAGTTTTAATATAAAATACTATATAGTACCAAATATTAAACACTGACTGCCATAAGAAATCGAACCTAGTTTCATACATTTGCCAAGAAAAATGGAGTAAATCCTTAATAACACCTAACTTTCCCTTCCAAAAGTTTTTTCTCTTGTTGGAAACCAATTTTTGGAGGTCTCCAGCATATCCTTAATGCTGATGAATACAACATTACCTTTATCAAAAAAAAAAAGTTGTGTAGCTAGATTGGTTTTGTATTGGAATTCCACAGGTCATGTTGTGTGTTTAAGCCTCCATAGCCTCATTTTTCAGTTTTTTTTTATAAAAAAGATAAACCTAACCTTCCCCTTCCAAACAAAAAATGAAGGGAAGATTGAACACACATTTATTTTAACTAATCTAACTGAATTTTTTGAATTGAACTACAAAACAGGATTGGGTCAGATTTTATCATGATCTTAAATTTCAGTGAGTACGAAAGTAAATGAAGAACAAATAAAAGATGAAAAGTTCAACTTATGTTACTTGATGTATTCGTAAGTCGTAACACAGATATCTGCTGGCTATATCAGCTGAATATTTTGGCACTTAGTTTTTGTAATTTTGAGATTGATCTGGGGTCAGCCTGTCAGTTTCTGATGAGATTTGTTGTTTATTGTGCCATACATCCATTTATGTCATCAAGTCTCTGTTGATTTGTTGTCCGAGGATATGAGAACGTTTTGCACAATGATGTCTGAAACAGAATTCCTTTTTGCAGGTATCAGAAGCGGGTTTCTAACATTATAGACGATGTGCTCGAGTGGTCTCCAAGTCTTGCTTTGTCAGGCATGATAGAAAAGCAACCTGTGGTGAACATCACCGAGCCTAATGACAATGTAACTGATAACAAGAGTAGCGATGAAAAGCTATTTTCCTCGGGTGATTTAGATGATGAAACCATACCCAATGAAGAAGTTGATGAAGTTACTGAAACTACAGAAGATAGTGATCATCACCAAAACATATAATTTATAAATGTTAGAACATGTTGTACCCAAAGAAAAAAATTGTTAGAACGTGTGTTTTCAAGGTTGCAGCGGATTCCAATTTTTCAATTTTCACTTATGCTTCAGTGCGTTTGAGTATAGAAGTTTGTAGTGAAGTCATTGTGAGTAACTTTATTGGTGTAAAATTTGACATTTTGAATATGATACAGTGCTTCATTTTGGATGCATGGGAATTGGGAGCTGCAAGCTCCAAAATAAGGGTTCAGACTTCAGAGAAGTTGATTAAACCTTGTTTTGTAGTCTCTTGTTGAACCCTTCGTTGGTTTGAATAGTAAAAAGACGTGATTTATGCAGGGGTAGTTTGTTTGCACCTCACCTCGACTAATTCCACAAGAAACTTATTATCTCTCAGGGTGTGTTTGTGATGCACAATGGCAGTCAATTAAGCATCAAATACGAAGAACAATTCTAGGAGCTTTGAACTCGAAGAACTGAGATACTAATTTAGAGCTTGCAGCTGAGATATTAGAAAGAGAATTTTAGAAGAAAGAGAAATGTATTATCATTCAATGCCTTAAACTCCAATCCTTTACATTGTATATATGGATATATTCCACAACTAAAATTCAACTGTTACACTGGCTGTTATAATAGAATAATAGAATTGTAACTAACTAATGAATCCTTCCACTAACTGACATGTAATATCTGTAGACTTGCATCAATACCCCCTACAAAAGTACAGACTTGTCCTTAAGGCTGAAAGGAAGGAAATCTATGTTGAATGTCAGACAAGTACTCCCAAGTAGCTCGAGAAGAATCAATAGCAGTCCACTTCACAAGCACTTGAACCACAACCTTGTTGCCTCTTTTCACAAGCCTCCTGTCTAACACACCTTCAGGCATAGGGCAATATGGACTGGACAAGTGAAACACAAGTGGATGATTGATGACATATGAGACCTCATGACACTTCTTCAACTGAGAGACGTGAAATGTATGATGAATTAGGACATCAGTTGGCAAAAGTAATTTATAGGCAGCCACTCCAACTTTAGCAGCAATAGGATAGGGACCAAAATACTTAGCAACCAACTTGTTAAAGGGTCTAACAACAACTGAAACTTGTCTATAAGGTTGCAACGTAAGGTAAACCCAATTTCCTACCTCGAAACATTTGTCAGACCTATGTCGATCAGCCAAGTCTTTCATTCTTTGTTGGGCTCTCTAAATATGAAACTTCAAAAGATGAATGCTTGCTTCTCTAGCAGCCAATGATCTATCTACCATGTCAGATGAAGACTCACCTACTAAGTAAGAAAGGTGAATAGGGGGTTTCTGACCATATAAAACTTCATAAGGAGTGCATTTGATAGCAGTGTGATAAGTAGTATTATACCACCACTCAGCAAGCGGTAAATAACTTGACCATTCCTTAGGGCTATCAGAACAAAAACATCGCAGATAAGTTTCCAATATCCTATTCAAAACCTCCATTTGTCCATCTGTTTGAGGATGATAAGCAGTACTCCTCTGTAACTGAACCCCTTGTATTGTAAACAATTTTTGCCAGAATTTACTAAGGAACACAGGATCTCTATCACTTGTTAATGTAGCTGGTATGCCATGAAGTTTAAAAACATTGTCCAAGAAGCACTGTGCTACGGATTGAGCAGTATAAGGATGTTGTAGGCTCATGAAATGACCATATTTGCTCAACCTATCAACCACCACCAAGATAACACTCTTGCCATTAGACTTAGGTAAGCCCTCAATGAAGTCTAAACACACATCAGTCCATACTCCATCTGGAATAGGCAAAAGTTGCAGTAAACCTGGATAGGCAAAAACATCATACTTGTGCCTCTGACAAACATCACATTTGTTGATGAAGTCCCTCACATCCTGACTTAGAGACTTCTAATAAAATAGAGATTGTATCCTCTTAATGGTAGCATCCATGCCAGAATGTCCACTTTGTGTAGTAGAATGTCACACTGAAATAATTTTCTTTCTCAAGTAGGAATTGGCTCCAACTACCAATCTACCCTTCCACCTAAGCTGAGCACTACACCAAGCAAAAGACTTGAAAGGCTGAGCCTGTAATTTAGTAATCAAAGTCTGCAAAGATGCGTCAGTTAACCAAGTTCCCTTGATCTGCTCATATAGAGAATCATTAGGTGTCAATAAGGAGATAGATAATAACTCAGCACCAGGCTTCCTAGATAAGGCATCAACAACTTTGTTGTCTATACCCTTCTTATATTCAATTGAAAAGTCGAAAGCCATTAGTTTGGGAATACCAGCCACCTGAAAGTCAGTGTGGAGGTTTTGTTCCAGCAAATGCTTTAAAGTTTTTTGATCAGTCTTGACAATGAAGGGCCTTCCTATCAAATAGTGGGATCATTTAGTGACAGCAAATATAAGAGCCATTAGTTCCCTATCATAGACAGACATGGCTTGGTGTCTAGGAGCCAGTGATCTGCTAATATAGGCTATAGGGTGGCCTTGCTGCATTAGCACAACACCAATTCCCTTCCTACTTGCATCGGTTTCCACCACAAAAGGTTTAGAGTAATCAGGCATAGCTAATACTGGGGCAGAAATCAAGGCTTGCTTCAGTTCCTCAAATGTTGTTGTAGCATGCTCAGTCCAAGTATATCCATCCTTCTTGAGTAACTCATGTAATGACTTACAAATGGATCCAAATCCTTGTATAAACCTTCTGTAATATCCAGCAAGTCCCAAGAACCCCATCAACTGCTTGATATTGCCAGGAATAGGCCATTGTGCAACTACTACAATCTTCTTGGGGTCTGTAGACTCCCCCTCACCGCTAATGAAGTGGCCTAGATATTCCACTTTAGGCACTCCAAAGGCACATTTAGACATTTTTGCATATAGTTGGAATCGCTGCATTAGTTCAAAGACTGCCCTTACATGTTTAATATGATCGACCATACTTTTACTGTAAATAAGTATGTCATCAAAAAAAACTAAAACAGTTTTTCTCAGTAGTGGCTTAAAAACTGAATTCATAAGACTTTGGAAGGATGATGGAGCATTAGTTAAGCCAAAAGGCATTACCAAAAATTCATAGTGTTTTTCATGAGCCTTAAAGGCAGTTTTCTAAATGTCATTTTCATGCATTCTCAGTTGGTGATATCCAGCTCTAAGGTCAATCTTTGAAAATACCATGGAACCTCCTAACTCGTCCAAGAGGTCCTCTATAATGGGTATGGGAAACTTGACTTTAATGGTCAAGTTATTCAACTCCCTGTAATCTACACAAAGCCTCCAACTACTATCTTTTTCGCCAACCAACACAACTGGCGAAGCATAAGGACTAGTACTATGTTGTATGACCCCATAATCTATCATTTCCTGTACAATTTTCTCTATAATATCCTTTTGGACCCCTGGGTACCTGTAAGGTCTTTTGTTCACTGGGTTAGCCGACTCAACCAGTGGTATGCGATGATCGAAAGACCCTCTATGATGTGGTAGTGTAGTAGGAATCTCAAATATGCTGGCATGTTGGTCAATTAACAAGGATAATGTTGGATGAACTAAGTTACCTTGGTCAACATGAATGTTGTAGCACTGCAACCTATCCTCTGAACCAAATAATAATGACATCATGAAGAATTGAGTCTCATCAACCTCAACCTTATTTATTGATTTGGTCCTTGCTGACTTCAGCTGAATACTAGCTCCTCTCAAGACATGTTTTATACCTTGATACCTGAATTCAATGGATCTATTTTGAAAATCAAACAAGATTCTACCCAAGGTATTCAACCATTGTACCCCCAGGACAATATCCACATTACCCAATGGTAGAAACAAGAAATCAGAGGTAAATGTAGTACCGTGCAAAAACCAAGTTAGATTTCTGCACACTGAACCTGTTCCTGCCATCAGCAACACTAATTGATTGGGCCATAATAGTGATGGACTGGCATCCTAACCTTTTGGCTACTTCTTGATCAATGAAATTATGTGTGCTCCCAGTATCAATTAAAACCTGCAAGGGTTTCTTTTCATGATAGCCAGTCCCTCTAATAGTTTGATAACCAATCACTCATGTGAAAGCTTGTAAGGATATGGTCATGAATTCATCAACTTCCTCATTGTCTTCCTGTATTTGGTCCTGCACTACCTCTTCTTGAACCAACTCTTCATCTTCTCTTTCCACTAGAAAAGTTTATTTATTGGACCTACACTTGTGACCAACCACATATTTATCATCACAGAAAAAACAAAGGCCTTTTGCCCTTTTCTCATCCATCTCAGCAGCAATCAACCTCCTTCCCAACCCATTACCAGTGAATTTGTTAGGTTTAACAACATGTGAATCAACTGGTTTCCTATATGTGAAATTTGGTGTAAATGGTTTTTGAGAGAAATTAGTTGGTTTAACATGAGTAGGAGTAGGTAGAATTGGTCCCTGTACTGGTCTGACCATAGGTTTCAAACCCCATGTCTTCGCTTGTGCATCAAAAACATCCTCTTGTAACCTAGCAAGTTTATAGGCTTGTAGTAGTGTTCTTGGTGACTGCATCCTGATATATTTGTTTAGTTCTGGCATTAGCCCACCCAAAAAACAATTGATAGTATTCTCATTTGACAAATTCACTCATGTTAATAATCTATCAAACTCAGCTTGGTATTCTTTCACACTACCTGTTTGAGTCAGATTCTTCAAAGCCTCCATAGAATCCTCAAACTCTTCCCCAAATCTTTCATTCAAAGCCAAGACATACTCTATCCATAAAGGATCAGCTACATAACTTCTAGACCTCATATACGACCTATGCCAAGCAATTGCCTCCCCTTCTAGGTGAATTGAAGCTATCCGTACCCTCTGGTCGAATGCAACCTCATCCATAGCAAAGAATTGGTCCACCTTATATAACCATATTCTTAAAGCTTGACCAGAAAATCTAGGGAATTTTAATCTAGAAAATCGAGTGAAAAGATTACCAGAATTGTTGTGATTTTCCTTGTGTCTGATTTCATGCTGTGATTCAACTGAACATGCCCTATCCATTGAAGATTTTGCTCTTCCTAATTCCTTTTCTTTGCCCTTAATTCCCAATCAACCAATGGTTTCCTTGATTTTATACAACTCTTTTTCTGTTTGTGAATTCCTATCGTTCATGCTAGTCATCCCCTTCATCAGTTTCGTCAACTGATCTTGGATCTGGGCTAATCGATCATCCATCTCTTCCACTGATTTATCTTGATTCTTACTTCTGGTCACCGCTATGCCAAAGATCGCTAGTTCTGATACCAATTGATGCACAATGGCAGTCAATTAAGCATCAACTACGAAGAACAATCCTAGGAGCTTTGAACTCGAAGAATTGAGATACTAATTCAAAGCTTGCATCTGAGATATTAGAAAGAGAATTTTAGAAGAAAGAGAAATGTAGTATCATTCAATGCATTAAACTCCAATCCTTTACATTGTATATATGGATATATTCCACAACTAAAATTCAACTGCTACACTAGCTGTTATAACAGAATAACAGAATTGTAACTAACTAATGAATCCCTCCACTAACTGACTTGTAATATTTGTAGACTTGCATCAGTTTGGTATGAAGGAAAACATTTTTCGAAAAAATGTTTTTCTATTTTCCAAATCAACTCATTTTCCTCAAATTTAAGGAAAATGACTTCCCTTCAAAACTTAAGGAAAACATTTTTCAAAACTCTCTTTCAACTTCAAATTACAATTACTTTTTTGTTGAAAAAATCAATTTATTTTGTCCCTACCCTCAAACCAGCCCCCAACCACCTCCCAAAAGAAATTAATAATTTTAAAGCTTGTTTTTAAAATCAATTTTTTTACCCCACCCTCACCCCTACCCCCACCCCCTACCAAAAAAATATTAAAAATTATTTTTAAAAGATATTTCTAATTTCAATTTTTTAATTTTTTACCCCCCACTACCCTCCCCCCATCAGTTTTTTTTTTATTGTTTTTAAGTTTGTTTTTAAAAAATATTTTCAACTTCAATTTTTTTATTTTTTCATCCTGATCCTTGATCACCCACCCCTCTCCCCGGCAACCCCGCCCCCCCTCCAAAAAAAAAATTAGTTTGTTTTTAAAAAATATTTTCAACTTCAAAATTTTATTTTTTTCACCCCTACACTCGACCACCCCCCCCCCTCCCCAACCCACCCACCCACCCCCTACTCGCCACCCCTACCCCCAAAAAAAATAATTTAAGTTTGTTTTTAAAAAATATTTTCAACTTCAAAATTTCATTTTTTCACCCTACCCTCAACCCCCCGCCCACCCACCCCAGCCCCCTACTAGTCCCCCCACCCACCCCCCAAAAAGAAATAATTTAAGTTTGTTTTTAAAAAATATTTTCAACTTCAAAATTTCATTTTTTCACCCTACCCTTGACCCCCCCCCCCACCCACCTCCTACCCAGTCCCCCTACTAGCCCCCCCACCCCCCAAAAAAATTTAAGTTTGTTTTTAAAAAATATTTTCAATTTCAAAATTTCAATTTTTCACCCCTACCCTCGACCCCCCACCCACCCTCCCCCCACCACCCCCAAAAAATAATTTTAAGTTTGTTTTTCAAAATTATTTTCAATTTCAAAATTTCATTTTTTTCACCCCTACCCAGCCCCCCACCTCACCCACCCCCTACCAGCACCCCCACCCCACCATCCCCAAAAAAAATTTTAAGTTTGTTTTCAAAATATATTTTCAACTTCAAAAATTTATTTTTTCACCCCCTCGGCCCCCCCCAACCCACCCCCTACCAGCCCCCACCCCCCACCCCCCAAAAAAAATTAAGTTTGTTTTTAAAAAATATTTTCAACTTCAAAATTTCAATTTTTCACCCCTACCCTCGACCCTCCCCCACCCCCAAAAAAAATTAAGTTTGTTTTTAAAAATATTTTCAATTTCAAAATTTATTTTCTACTCTAGTAAAAATAAAAGATATTTCTCAAAAATATTTTTCATTCATAAATCAAACATTAAAAATCTTTTCCAGAAAATATTTTCTACTCACCAACCAAACATGAAAAAATAAGTCAAAAATCAACTTGTTTTCTAGGAAAACATTTTCCTTCATACCAAACACACCCTCAACATCAACAGATACAATGTAACTCTATCTACCAAGGCTAGAAGGGACCTTATGGTGTTTAACCACTTCATTGACTACTAGGCCATACCCTTGTGTGGATACTTAGAAGCATTTTTTAAAAGTTCGACTAAACACTGTTGCTGCTGCTTAGAAGTGCTTTTTGAATTTATTGATTAAACACAAATTGTTTATCACCAAAGGGTCGTAACTCTTGTGAAAAGCATCTATGACATGGTTCATTGCTTTAACGGAAAAAAAACTGGATTCATAATTCCAACTTTTACTCCTCCAATATTGTATTGTATTACTGAACTTGATGCTTGTTGCAGTTTCTGTTTGTGTCATCTAATCTTCCGCAAGTTGAGTTCATTTCACATCCTAAAATAAAGGAGCCAAGTTAGGATTTTTACCGCTATTTTACTTTGCACGTTCTGGATAGATGTGCATTTTCATAGAGTGAGAGGCAAAAAAGATCAACGAGAGACTAGATCGTTTGATAGTACTAGTAATATTAGTTAGTTAATATATAAAAAGAACGATAAATGTATTGTACGTGTAGTCGTGTATTCCTCATTATAAAGTTTTGAATTAAAATCAATATACTCAAATTATTATTTTGGTCAAAATCCAGTGAAGTCTCTATAAACATATGTTAGCGTTTGATTGTGACACGTTTCACAATCTAAATGATGATGCATTCTTCATAAAAAGTCCCATTTCCAAAATGATTTGGGAGCTCACAAGTTTTTCTTCTTGCACATTTTTT